TCCATTACTTATGTAACACTGTGCGACAGCGGAAACCAGCCCGGAGTTTGTTAACATTTTCTGAAAGTATACCTATCCAGTAATAAAACACTCTATGGATTTCCAAAAGTTAGCTTGTACTTTTATTTTTTGACCTACTAAAGTTTTCATGTTCCGCCCTAAGTAGTTTTCAAAAAAGTGAAGTAAGTGGGTAAAATAAATGTCTGAGCGATTGAGCATTTGAAAAGCGGACATTACAACTCGAAAGGGGTAATTCCACCTATTAAGCAGAAGCAAACGACAGGAAAAGAAAAAAACAAAACTTAAGAAAAAAACTTTTCCGATTACCCAATTTTGGAATTATTTGAACTTCTGTGAGCTTTTAACTGCAGTTAAGCTTTTGGTGAGAATAGGTTGCAAAGGTTAAGACGTATGTAGTATAATTTCATTTTAATCAATCGGCTTACGTCTGAAATGGTCGATTTGACCCTTACTTCATAAACCCCTCAAAAAGCAAATTTGCAACGTCGTGAGAGGATTAACATGTTCTAGAGAATTATTCTTCTGAAAATTTTCATAGGGGTCCTCTCAGGCATAATCTCTGTACCACCAATGTCCTTAAGAAATTAAATAAAAAAATCTATGCCAAGAAGGAGTAACAGCCATTGACTATTTAAAAAAAAAAAAATTTAGAAAAAAGCCGAGTTTTTTTTTGCATTCCTATATAGTCAGCTCAATCGTCACCCCACTCTCTAACTTGTTCTCCAAGCGCACTCTTCAACAAACCGACATAGGTTTGCGAGCAGTGGAACCACATTTTGCGCTCATTACGCACCCCTGTCGAAGAATTAGTCGTATTTCAGCATTACCTAAAAGACAGGTATGACGGGGAAAGTTTCGTAGGTGTAATGTAGGATCGATTTAGGGAGCCAAGGAGGTAAGCGTGACGTACATATTTCTCGCAAGAGAACGAGTGAGTCGCAGAGCTTTAAACGCTGGTCTACAGGAAAATGCACAAAAATTAGACCTCTTACAGAAGGTTTCAAGACCATGGCGAATTCCCGCAAGAACAAACCCAGTGATCTGCGGAACGATACCCAGAGCATGTAAACAACACTTTTCCACCCTGCTGAACACTAACCGCACTGAAATCAGCGGAGAAGATGAACCCGAGCCGCCAATCGAAGACGAAAGAATCGATGTTTCGCCAAGATGAGGTACGGTTATGACGAGGTACGCTTATCAATCTGGCGTCTGGAAAACAAGTGCGGCGGCGAAGAGTTGATAAGGTGCATGTAGAATATAATCGGACGAAATAATTCTTCACTACTGGAACTTAAGTGTGCTTTGCGTTATTCACAAGTCGAATGATTCTGCTATATGAACCAACTACCGCAAGATCAGCTTCTTAAGCAGTGCATGTAAGGTTTTAAAGGCAAATAAAATAGTACGAACACCACCATCTATTTGTCGATTTCAAATTCGAAAGTATAGGACGTCGTTTGTTTAGGAAGCAGCATAAACACCGACAGGAATGTCAACCTTGTAATCTAACGGAGTGCTACTGTGGACCGAGTAGGGAATTGATAAGTAAAGTTCACTCTCGACGTAACTCGACCCAAACGCTTTAAGTCAGTGATGGGCAGAGAGAGCTTTGCCCGCGGGCAAGGCGATGCCCATCGCGGCTTAAAGTTGATTATATAGGTTACTGTGGTTTCCACTCCGCACAGTCCGTCAGAGAGGTACACTTAGGCTAGTTAGACCTTAATGTAGCGTTGAAGAACGCGGATATCCACAGAGTCGAGATCAGCTACTTGAACAAAGTAGTAAATCGTGACCTCGCCCAGGCAGCGCAGGGACGGAGGTAGTGCTCTTGACACTCTGCCTCCTCCTCGTCCATATAACTATGACGAAAATTGTTATCGGGGTATCCCATTCGCTTACCACGAGCGCCCATTGGGGCGATCAATTTGTCACTTTCGAGCCTAGCTCGTTTAAGGTTCGCATACATTAGACCACCTTTTTTGAGGAAGTGTTTATTATGCTCATGGATAATCACAACATTCATGTGGTGGCCTTTGAAGTGTTCGAGAGAAATATTCCGCATAAGATTTAGGGGCCTTTGCGCGTTGCCAACAGCGACTATCGCAGACGAAAAACGAAAACCTAAAGTACTTCCTATACCATGGCCACAGCAATCAACTGTCAGCTAACTCGTCATGTGCTATGATTAATTACTTTTATGGCTAAAATAAACTGCCGGCGAAAACAAAAAAGTACTTAGCGGCAAAGCCAATTTGATTGTCATAATTTGTTGGTCATGAATCGTGATTATTGCGCCCATTCTTTCGTCATATGCCTCCTCTTTATCACAAAATAATTAGTGGTGTTGCCATTATTTTTGTTTGCAAAGTGTGAAATTATGACTGAAAATACCTAAACTCAAGCTATTGTCATTTTGCGGTGACTGGCGCGGAAATCACACAATGAAATAAAGTTACTAGTATTATTTACTAATCTCGAATGCTGTAATCAATTTGTGTTTAATTGTTATCCAGCGGCGCAAAATAAGTACTTACATAAGTATGTACATATGTACGAGTATACATATGCATACGTATTGGGTGTGAGGGTAATTAATTGTTGAATGCTTTAGTTTAGCCATCAAATTGCAGGGGTGATGGAATTTTGTGGGTGAATGTGCTAATCCGCCATAAAGCGCGAATATTAATATCGGAAATGTTTTATTATTATTGAGTAAATGCTTTACATACAATAAATAAATAGATAACTGTTGCAGTTGGCTTACTAAAAATGTTGCTGTACAATTTTATGAGAAATTTTTCCATGCAAAATAAATTACTATGAAAATTATTTGCTGTATTTTTAGCCAACAATTGCCAAAAACATCGAGGAAGTCAAGTGTCTCTCTATTTTGGCCAGTACCGCCTCAGATATTGGAGCAAACGACATGGCTTATGCTGGATGTCCACTAGGCATTCAATGGCAAAAATGACAAAAGACAAAGTCGGGCATTCAAAAATAATCTTGTCAGTACGCTAAGAAAATAGTCATTAAGTTCATTTCCACATGGCATTTTTATAAGTGGCATACATTTTTTGTCATTTCAATGCCCAGTGGAAATTCGGCATTAGCCGGCTAAGTTGCTCTAAATTGATTTGTTGTATTATATGTATGCGTTGTAAATATGCAGCGCATTATTCCATCGTAAGCGATACTTGCGGTCACAAATGCACAGACGAACATATGTATGTATGTGTGTATCTCTTGAACACTCCAAAGGCCACCAGATGTTGTCGTCCTCCTCGTGTCTACTCGAAGCATCCAGAAGTAGATTATAACCAGTGATGGGCATACTATAGTACTTCTGCACTCAAAGTAGTACACTGATCTCAGTCGCCAGGCACATACTTTAAACTTGCAAAATACTCCCTGCAAAGCTATTGGCTCAATATTTTCAAATTAAATTCTTTATGGTTTAGGAACAACTAAAGCAATTAAAACCTTAGGTACCTTTCATTTATCTCACCCCACCTAAACTCACCTTATCTCAACTCAGCGAAGCAAATCACGGATGAATTTTATTCCCGAAAATTCCTAAATAGTCCCGAAAATCTTGAAGTACTCCCAAAAATTCCGAAATACATATCTAGCCCCAAATATACCAATATTGTCCCGAGAATTCCGAAAATCCCGAAGTTGTCCGGAAAATCCTGAAACAGTTCAATAATTCTTGAAACTTTCTGGTAGAATTTCCTCTTTCTTTCTCCATTTCCAGCATGGGGCTCTCTCAAATCCGAGATGTAGCCCAGGAGAAGAGATTTTTTAGTTTCCTATTGATTTTATAAAGCAAAGCACATAGTACCTAGTACTATTTGTGTTGCTAGTCTCGCCGAAATCCGATAACTCTTTGACGGTAATGCGCAGAGAACGTGTCACATTGCGAAATGTTATCAAAGAACACTGCGAGCTCTCCAGCGCAGAGGTGAATGCGAATTTTGACTCCAAAATATACATAGTGTTCCGAGTCCGAATTTGTATCTTCGGTAGCGTGACTTGCGTCCGTCACAACATGTTCCATCTGATTTTCGATTCTCAAGAAACAGCTTTGTTTCTGTCGAGTTTTTTATACTGGAGCTTGGTGCTGCAGACTACTATGTTTAGGGGCCCGAAATTGTGGCGAGGAATGTATACACCGGGGCGAGCATTAGTACTGAGCGACGGAGTCTTTCACTATACCACCAAATTTGTGCTTCTTTACATGCCACCTGCAGTAGAGGTCGCCAGGACATCAATTATGGTTTCTCGTGGTGGCTCCCAAGCCATGCGATGATATGTTGATAGCCTTACTGATGCTTTCTCTCTCTCTTTCTGCTCCACACGTTTCCATACGGGTTGGTTTCCGCATATAGTCGATCATAGAATACCCATATTAGCTTTTATGAAACACTTAATAACACAGGCCGCCTACAACCCATCTTCCTTTCCAAGCCTTCTGTGGCTAGATATTTCCTTCCACTATTGATTTCATTAAAAAACTAAATCTCTCATATTTAAAATTTCCGTGGTAAAATGTTTTTGTTTTTACGCAAATCTAGAAATGTTGCAATGTGAATGAGTGAATTTCTCAACAAACAGTGGAAGTGGAGGGAATACCGTTAAAGGTACTCGCGCATGGCTATATGTACATATGTATGTCCGAGTCTTAAAATTTCCGCTAGTGTGGATTTCCAAGTATTTCCGGTATACAAATTTTTGCATATACACATTCTCTTTAGCAACATGTTGCGAAACTATTTTTACCATGTTCAAATGTTGCAGCACGCCAAAGTGTTATACGAACGGAACAATGCATTTTATAAAGAGAAACACCAGCGGAGAGCATAAACAAACATTTAGGGGCGGGGGGCCAAGAGAGGGGGTTGCTGCCGTAAACATATGGCGCTTGAGTCAAAACTGCAACACAAAGAAGATGGTTAGAGCAAAATAAAATTGCATTTCAGTAATCATGGCTATGCGTAGCGCATAGAAATCAACAAAACTGAGTGGATACTGAGAGCACTGTAAGTGTTGGGAGCATAAGAAGAAATAAATGAAAAAAATATAAATAAAATAAGAAGCAGGCGCAGCGCATAGCGACTCATCAAAAGAAAAATCCATGAATCAACAAACTTCCGAACGTAAAGATGGATGTATGTATGTACGTAAATATACATATGTATATAGGTACATTCGCTCGTCAACACGACAAAGCCCCAAGTAAGTGAGCGAGCAAGTGAGTGAGCGCAGCTTCGAAGGCCGTTGTTGGGTAAGCAGAGCCAGTTTGTGTGTTTGGGGAGTGGGTGTGGAGCAAGGTGGGCAGTTTGGTCGCAGCGCCAGCAGCAGCAGCAGCAGCAGCAAAGGCAGCAGTGTGCATACAGCAACGAGTACCTCAGTCGCAGTCGCAGCAGCAGCATCGGCAGTAATGTAAGTAACGATGAGCTTCGTTGTTAGCTGTGCGAAAAATGCGGTGTTGAAATTTTAGTCGAAAAGTTACTCTTTTGGTGTGCGGCTGCTCCACAAATAATTTAAATTACTAACGCGAATGAAGTGTTATATCTATACTAAACCACAGCGAGACGGGTTTTCTGATACATTCAAAGCGATTAACATACGGTTCGGGAAACGTAATTTAATGAAATTTAATTTTGTTTTTAAAGCCAGAGTATATTTATTACACAGTTCGCGAAAACATCGTATGAAAATAACCAATAATAGCAACAACCACTTAATGAAAAGTCGATTTTCTATTAATACGTGTGCCAAAGTAGCAATAACAATGGCGCATATGTGTAGTGAATGAGCGAGTGCGTGCCCTCAACGTGCCACGGTGGTGAAGTGCAAGCGGAAAGAGCTACATCGCCATTGCTATAGCGAGAGCTAAAGCGAGAAAGGGAGAGAGAGAGTGCGCGGAATTACTTATTTGCAAGCAATCGAATAGGTACGTAGTATAGACAAGTATGTATTTCAATTGTGCTTGAATAGAAATCGGAGGAAAAATATATGCATTTTTGTTATTAAAAGTTGTTTGCACGCCAGTGTGCGAAATCAAAGTCGAAAATTACACATTCAATAGGTTTCGTTTGCATTTAGCAGTAATATTCCGTTGTGCTAATAAAAAATAAAATAAATTATTGAAAGCAAAGTGAAAAAATCTACAAAATTATATTTGCGGTCAAACGCCCAACGTAGACGAATTTTCGCAAAAATTTACGACGCGTGTGCTTTTTCGCAGCAGTAGCAGCGACGACGACGATATGCGTGTGTGTTTGCGCGAGGGAACGGTGTACAGGTGCAATTGAACGCGCGTGTATCTATGAGCGTGCGAGTGTATAAATGAACTTACCTACATATGTGTGCGTGTGTTTGCATAGAAATTGCCAGCGCAAAGTGGCAAAACAAGCAAATAACCAACCAGTTAACCAGCCACCAGTCAGCCAACTCATGGCTGTGGGCAACTAATACTCGTACAAAAAACAAAATTATTGCCCAATTGGTTGCCTCATCACGGCGCGACGCATAGAAGCTGAAATCCAGTTAAACCTATTGCTTACCTGCTGCTATACCTGCATGCGAATACCTATTTGTACATACATATTTAGTAGCGAGTTCACATTTTGAAAGTATCTCATAGATACAATTTTTGCGAAACCTCGAATCAATAGTGTTTTTGTGTTGTTGCTTTTGCAGTATTTATTTCTTATCGACAAAACGGGAGAAAAGTCAAAATGAAATAAAGTCCATATAAGTGTTAGCGTGTATGGAAAATATACATACCTACATAGAAAGTGAGGTGAGTGAGTTTTTACGTACTTACATACATATGTACATACGGTTGTATTTACATATGCGTGTGCGCGAAGAAAGCTACAAACAAAACAAAACCGCCAATAAAAGTCAGTGAAAAATTGAAGAAAACAGATACCGAGGTGAAAATTTTTGCAACGTGCAATAGAGAGAAAGCGTTTTGCAACACCCATGAAACACCGATCAAAGCAGACAATGAAAAAATAAACAACAACGGCAACTACAAAATCAACAACAACGGCAACATCAACTAGCAGCAACAAATCGAAGTGGCAGATGGGAAACGCGTGAAGAAAACAAAAACCATTGAAGGGAGATTTTTCAAAAGCTACTTAAGTGGAGTAAAACAAAAAATTCGAAGGGCAATAAAAGAACTAACTATCGAAGTTAAAGTACTAAATAGGAGCTATAATTAGGTAAAGTTGTAAGTTTAATAAGAAAAAAATAACATAACGTAAAACTCATAACGTAAAGTAGCTAAAAAAAAGTGTTGGTAGAAGCAACTCCCCACTCATACGCCAAATAGAAGTTAAAAGCTATTTACTACAAGTCGATTTTATAAAAACCTTAAGTGCATAAAACCGAAACGAGGAGAAAGTGAAGAATTTTCGTAATAATATTTATAAAGTGCAAAAATAAAAAATTAAAAAGTTATACATTTAGTGGAAAGCATTGGAGATTTTTTTTGGTGCAAACGTAGAAAACAGCAAGCAACGTGACATCAAACATTTTAGTGAAAAAAGGTGGGGTTTATTAATTTTTAACACATTTAAAAATATTAAAACATTGAGCAAGTATTTTCATGCACATATTTCTATTAAGTATTAGTATTTGGTGTATACCAGTTAGGTATGTATGTATGTATATTATATTTTTATTAAACAAATGAGATCTGGAAATATGTACCTATTAAATAGAGTCTACCTACTTATTAATTTTCATTGGTCATTGACGACTATGTTCATGCTCAACAGCGATGTCGTAATTCGCACCGGTTCATCAAAAAAATCTAAGAAATAAAAAGAAAAAATTAATTCAAAATTTCCGCGTTTCCCACTGTTTAAATGTTCTTTTCATCTCTCACAAAATCACTTTATTTTTATACAGCTTCTTTGTGCTGTAATCTTGTTCCATCCTCTACTTGTACAGTTTCAATGTTTCTTAAGTGGGTTCATTGCAAAACTTTGGTGCTATAGTGTTTGATTTGCAGTTAATTTCATACGTGTTATGTTACGGCTAATACTTATTCCCCTTCGTCATTTTTGCTCTTTATGGCTTCTTCTTTGGCTTATTGTTCGTCACTTTGAATTTTTTTTTATAATTTTATGCATATAGTTTGTTGTCTTTGTTTAATTTTGACGTCTACCAATTCGCTTTTGCCAGCTGCTAATGCTTAGCTTTGGCAACATGCTTAATTTTTCGTACGAAATGCTTCGTGATTATTGCCGTCTCCGCCAATTCGTACTTTAGTCGTCATTCGTTTCTTTCTGTTTTTTATTTTTATTTTTTTTTTAATACAAAAAACTTCCATCGAATGTAAGCTGAGAGTAATAAGCCTTTTAGCATTGCAATGTGTGTCTTTCAGGGCGGTTTTTTTGCCCAGCGTTTGTGGTAAATATTTATGCCTTTTCTGTTTTGCTCCTAAGAAATGCTTACAAAATAAATTGAAATTGAATTTTTACGGTGTTTTTTTTTACCTTTACCACAAAATAACTCCGAAAAGCAAGTCTGTAAAGTTAAAAGTGTTGTATTTCTTGTCTGAAAGACTTGCTGTTCCTGGTGTGTTTTGATTTTAATTGAATGAATTAGCGGCATCGCCTAATGGTATTGCTTTTAAATGTTCATTAATTTTTGTTGCGTTTTCCGACAACGTAGGCGAACTACAAACCACAAAAGCTTACACGAGAATCCATTTGTATCCATTAACTTCTTAATCGCTTTGTGACTAAGATTTTATCGATGATTTCTTTATTACATACCTACATCGGTATGTGCAAATTTCAAACTTTCAAGTGTAAGTGTTGACGTTAGTCACATTTCTCTAGCACTCGCAAGTATTTAACAACTAGCAGCTGATACTTATCTACCATAACTTAGTAAAGCATTAAATACCATTTGTAATACTTCTATACTTAAATCGAATATATTTTAAGCTTTGATAAGTAATTGGAATAATAAGTGTATACGCCCCAGTTGTCAATGAACTTAGTAGGTTCAATATTCTACGTTCCCTATAATTAATGTCAATTACAAGTTGACTGGCCTCCACGTGCTTCTTTAGTATATTTCTATGTAATAATATGCTTGTTGAACAGGGATTTAGTTGACTGCAAGCGGTTGCTTAGACTAGGGTTTATTTTTAAGAATAGCTATTTTCGTCATTTAAGATGTAGATAATGAAATCAAAACATTCATTCAATTGCATTGTATGTATAGAACTAATATGGGTTCGCAAAGTTGTTGTTGCTTAGAATATTTACTAATACTAGAGGTTCGTTAGGCGTGAGAATTTATTGTTAGGAACATAATAACAGTTTTATCGTAAATTCTCTGCCTGCATCTTCTCTGCCAATCAGAGGAGATTTGCGTAAAGTTTTGCTTCATTTTAAAATCCCAGCCTTATAAAACTAATCGGATATACATATATAAAGCCGATCAAACAAGAATGACTTGGATCAATATGTCGCACGTTTAGTAATATATACCAAAACCGCATTAACAAAAAACCGATTTGAAAACAAATTCAAGTCAATACGCTTTTCAATTTCAAACCGTACTGAAATTTTGTTTATGCATCCGTTTTTAATAATAGGGATGTAATTCAAAATTTAAGCTTTTGGAGATTTCATCATACAATTAATAAGCTTGATGAGGAGAATATGTTTAGCCTAATAGATGACTAAACTTCCCAAAATTGGCGAAGATATGGATCTTTTCATCTTTCTTTTTGTATACCAACTATTTGAATTGATCAAACGTTTTTCCACAAAATTGAAATTTTGAAATATGTCTTTATATTAGTAAACGTGCGATGTTACGCTCTCGTTATTCTCTGTCGAATAAAATATGAAGGTACAAACATTGGACATTCTTTTTAACAGGGAAAATCTCATCCCCTCTTATTCAAAATTGGTTCAAGTAAGAGTAAAAGGTAAAAGCTTTATTATTCTATGACATTTTAACCACCTTTAGACAGAGGATGTCTTTCTTTAACGACCCTGATAAACGGTCTTATAGCTTTCTCTTGCATGCTTGTGCTGGTTGACCTCCTCGGCGGCTTACTTGTGGCTTAGAGTCGAATGCTTTCCGGGGAATGTCGCTTGGTTCTCACCTCAAGACATTTTCGAGCTCGGCTTGATATCTTCCGCTTAAGTTTTCGTTTCCAATATTTACTCATGTATTCAATCTTCCAAAAATTTTCAAAATTTTCTGTGACAACTAACGCCAACTGGAAATTGGAAGTAAAGCCCATGCCTTTTCCTCCTGGTCGTTTCATCGCAGAGAAGGTATTCCTTTCGCTTGACCTTTCTATACTGTATGATGAGCATATATAGCGTATAAAACGCCCTTTGAAAGTCGGTAAAAATAATCAATTCTTCCCTTTTACTTGGGACTGTTAACATGATTGAGACAGGAGCGCACACTCTTTGACAGTCGTACAGTGTAAGTTTTAAGTTCTGAACACATTGAAAACGACGAGCTACGGACCACAGCTTCCAATTTGTCATCTTCATTATCTAAACGCTTTGTCGATGGCGACATGATTTCTTTGAAAGCGGCAGCGACATCATGAATTTGTATGAGTTTGACATAAAAGAAGAGGAACAACCTTATCTGTCGCCAGTAAAATGGAAATAGATCTAATCTGGCCACAACCACAGCGGTCGCGTAGCCCGGTCGTCGCCAAAATAATTATCTACATAAGAGTACGTGTTAAAATAATTTGACAGCTGTGGTTTGTAGCTCGTCATTTTCATTGTGTTCGGGCTATTAGGGTTGAATGATTTTCGAACTCGAAATACGTTTAAATTCGTAGCCTTTTTTATAACATGTAGTATATGATGATGTACACATTCTCAAATTAATTAATATTTTGCATGTTTTTCACACCTTTAATTCAAACTGTAAATATTAAGTGTTGTCATATCACACACTATAGTGCATATCTAGCTACAGTGAAGACTCTCTTCAACCGACAGTGACTATCAAGCAATTTTTGTCCGGCAAGAATTAGAGTACAATGATTGAAAATAAATTATTTTGGTTAAAAAGTATGCACATCACGATGTAACTATTTCTCAGAAGTATATATTTTTGACCTACAAATTTTCTCCTATTCTCAGTTCAAAGTATACGATCAATCTGCATTAGAATTTATTTTTTTTCCGGTTATATGCTCATAGTTAAGATCGGCATTTACTTAGCTTAAATAGGTTCGCGTTGTTTGATGAATTATAATTTTTCAATAATGCTGTTCATTGGGTGAGTTTTCACTGTATACAGGTACATTTATATACTTAAATAGGTGCCTACATATATACATATTTACATCAATCTGATCGTTTAGAAAGTGGAAAATACTTAAAAGTAAATAAAGTACACACACGATTTCTACACGGAGATTTACATAAAATATTAACAATTTCATGCAAATCGTACTAATCGGACAGTCAATCTGACTGCTTTATCAATTCAACGTAAGGTCGTTGTTGTGCTGAGCAATCGATCGTTGTACATAACTACATGCCTAAGTAGACGTGGGTCTCCAGTTGATTTTGTTCCTGTTTTCTCATAAATCGAAACTAATAAACATAAATTCATATTTAAATAAATTTAATGTGTGACAACAACTTAAGCGTAAACACTTGAAAATGTTAAAAGCAATGTAAATGTTAACAGAACAGGTTATACACTTATTTTTGAAACTGCGTAAAATGATATTTTTTCTTCTCAAATTTTGAGTACACACATCCATACATACATATGCATTGACATAGTGGTTTAACAAAAGGCGTTGAGAAGTTGTGCTGTTTGCGTTCAGTCAACCTAAGCGAGTGTTTTACGCAAAACCTAGGTATGGATGTACATATAGTATATCGTCGCGTATCTTCATTCTGTAAAACCGCGTAACTGACATTGGCTGCCAAAAATTGGATTTGCTCACACAAGCTCTTGGCTCAATCCTTATCCATTCATCCTGAAATATACTAGCCAGAAATGCGATTGCTTTATAAAAAAGAGAACCATTTTGAAATATGAGTGTTTTTACGCTCCAGAAAATAATTTCTACAACTTCACATACGCGGTTTTGCATTTTGCTGATACGCGGTTTTGCATTTTAAACGACGATATGTACATAGTATTCGCATGTGATCTTATTATCTAGCTACGTATGGATGTTTGAAAAAGGTTTGCTTTGTTATTTATATGTACATTTGTATATACCCTGCAGGGAATGACGTTAGCTTATACTTTATATTTGAGTCTGTTTACGGGAACACTAGCGCTAACTATTAGCTGCTCGAAAAACGCTAACTACTTTTGTCGGCCGATGGCCGCAAAAAAATCAGACCTGGATACCTCTTACTCTACTTATCACTAACTACTTTTGGACATAAAATACCAATAAAAAACATTGTGTTAATTTTTTATTTTTTTAACATTTTAATTTATATTTAACATTGCATATTTGTTTATTTGTTTACATATTCTGCAGTAGGTGGTCCTATATTGGAATTCCGTCAGACATAACATCCAAATTTTAATATAAAAATTGGGTGCGGTACATTGATAATTGCATTTCCCTTGAGGACCAAAAATACGTGGTCAGTTAGGTTAGGTTGGTGTGGCAGTCGGTGAAAATAACTGTTTCATTTAGACCTCGAAGTTCCATTGTGCTACCACGGTAGGACACGGGAACCTCAGTGAATACAGAAACATTTCGAAGGTCTTATAAAGCGAAGGATAGGCTTTATTCCTACACCTGATAATTTCGTAAGAGGTATAAAGAAGGGCCTACCTAAAAAGC